TATCCCAACAGCCCTGCTGGCTGCTGGTGTGATGTTTGCAGCCCAGTCTGGACCATCATCAGACCCTAAAAGCAATAGGATCTCTGTGTCTTGCTCAGCAGTGGCTGTGTTTGGCAACAGAGCTAAAGCACCACCTGGATTCCAGAGCTCACCTCTCCCTTCCACTGCAGAGTCTCACCCTGCACCCAGAGTTGTCCATTTGCAATATTTCTGGCCCATGCAATGCAGGAACATTGGGTATGAATGCAGGAAAACACCCTGAATCCCATCCATCACCCTTGTTCACAGCCAGGTGGAAGTTGGCATTGGCGTAGTCTCCTCGATGTTGAAACTTTTGGAGTAGGAATAAAACCTCCCTTGTTCTGATTTTGTAGGACTTTGTGGAGTAGGGTAGATGGTTGGACTCGATGATCCCAAGGGTCTCTTCCAACCTAGATGATTCTATGATTCTATGATTCTATGAAACAACCCAGAAATCACAGGGCTGCCCTAAATTATCTCTGTTCTGCCCTTCCAATTATTCCCCGTGCCCGAACGCTGTGCCACACAACTGGCCAGTTGAAAGGGGCTTCAAACGTTGCTTTCAAAGGGTATTCCCTGCTGGCCATTCAGGATGCCATGGATGCCATCTGCCAGTCTTGGCAAGGCTCTCTCCACAGTGAGGATGGGGAAATTCCCTGTCTCAGGTCCGTACCCGCCGGCCGATGGTTCCACTCTGCCAACTGGGAATCTAGGGCTGGCAGCTAGACCCTTGCATAGCATTCAGACTGGCAGGGAAATTCAAGGCACTGGCATAAGCAGAGCTGCTTTTGACTGGTTCCCAGCACCGAGCCTGGCACCAGGGTCAGCCCAATTTCCACCCAGAGGCCAATTTTCAGAAGGTCCATCCTTAATAAATGGAGAGAGATGCTGGCACCTCTAGGGGATGTTTTATTTTAGGATATTTAATTTTAGGTGCCGTGACCACCTCCTGAATGAGTGTGTCTTCACTCTCATTATACAGGGAATCTAGAAGGATTAATAATTTAATAGCATAGATGATCACTGTGAGGGTGGTGGAGCACTGGAACAGGTTGCCCAGGGAGGTGGTTGAGGCCCCTTCCCTGGAGATATTCAAGGTGAGGCTCGACGAGGCCCTGGGCAACCTGGTCTAGTTGGGGGTGTCCCTGCTGACTGTGGGGAGGTCGGACTAGATGACCTTTGGAGGTCCCTTCCGGCCTGGGCAATTCTATGATTCTATGATTCTATGATCACAGACAAGTCCTTGGACCTTTAGGGTTTTGTAGCGTAGACACAACCTCTGTAGCACAACACCCCTGCAATGGCCTCCTCTCAGGTCCAAATACCGCTTGAGTCAGGAAAATCAGAACCATGGAAGGTTTTATTCCTACTCCAAAAGTCAACAAGATAGTTAAGTCCTAAAAAGAAAATAGCACAACATTTATAAATCTGACAGGTGAAATGATTATTTGGGTTGGCTGGAGATTTGACCTTTGGATGAGACTGACAGACAAGCAGAAAATGGATAAAAAGAGAAAGTAAGAGAGAGGCGTTTGTGGTTATTTTCCAGGAAATGAAGAAACTATCTTAAAAAATCAGAATGAAAATGGAATTTCTGTTCCAGGAGAAAGGAATATAATACCGATTGTCTCAGCTGGGGGCTCAACATTGAAAACTTGAACTATTTTCCAAAAATGGTGATTCCAAAATATTTTCATTCTGAATGATTAATATCCTCCAAAATATTTTCATTCTGAATGATTAATAAACATCTATTCAAGCAAAGTTTTCTGTTTGAAATACTTATTTTGCTGACGTCAGTTAATCCTCACCTGATAAAACACCTTATATGAATGATGCTGGAAGGCTAGAATATATCACCATACCAAATGCAAAGTACTCAAAGACAGAAATATCTGGAAGGCTAGAATATATCACCATACCAAACGCAAACTACTCAAAATGAAGACAGAAATACAGGCTAAAATTCCCAGATTTTATTTTATTTCCGTATGTTTTAGACCCACTGTGTCAGTGAACTGCTTTGCCCATGGAATATTTTGGTTATGTCTTGTGGTATTAAACTTGCCACCAAAAGGTTGTCACTTGTTCTAGTAAGTTAGGTGTCCAGTAAGGCAGGTTTGTAGTTAATTAGGGCTCACCTATGCTTGAAAGAGCTTGTTATCACTGGAAGTACATCTCATAGCAGGTCAAAAGAGGACTTTTTTCCTCGTATGACTAATGTCATTACCCTGCGTAAAAGAAGGTGTAGTGGTGAAAAGGAACATCTTGCTAGAAAAGTCCTTTTCTTTAGTCTAGGGATGAGTTTGAGACAAAAGTTCCACTCAAGAAGCCTCAAAATATCTCAGTGGAAACATTATCATCCTTCTTCCATCTCTGTCTAATGCATGAAATTTTCACATATTCCTGCTATGACTCAAAGAGCATCAAGAGAAAACTTCCCGGAGTGAAGCCAGCACAGCACCTCCCCGTGCCATTTTAATTTGTAGCAGCCAGCTTCAAAACACGCTCATTTCCTTAGAAGTGGAGGGCCTGGGGTTATCCCAGGAGCGTGTGGGAGGGTTTTTAACCCCAACTCGTTGCGCTCCCGTAGACGCACACCAGAAGAAGGTTTCACAGCGACAGAGAAGGAGCCTGTTTCTATCACAATTGCAAAAAATACAGAACAAGACCTGTCAGTTTTGGAGAGGAAAATGCAGGCAGGGAAACAAAAGCTGCCAGGAAGCCTCAGTTTTCTCTGGAAGACCCAGAGCTGTGCCATCCCATCACCATTTACTCCTTCATGCTGCGACTTGTCCCTCTTAAAGGAGGTTTTGTGGCTCAGCGAGTCTCTAAATCCCTTAATTTCACTAAGTGGCAACAGAAATGCAGCTCTAGCAAACACGTACAGGTTGTGGGAAGCTGTGTGCTCCCTGTGAGTGTGTGTACACGTCTGTGCAAGCGTGAGTACATGTGTTGTTTCTCCTCCTTCGCCTCCACAGACGCTGCCCTGGCTCCTGGCCAGATGGTCCCACCAAGCGCTTCCCCACATCCCATTAGCTGCAATGTCTACCCAGTCACTGGAGATTACTTCCACACTAATGGCTCAGAAAAAGGCCTTCCCAGAGCTACTTATGACTGCACCAGGCACTTGGAATATTTCATGAGCGAATATTGCAATGATCTGTTGGAGCTCTGGGAGCTGTTGGAGGAAATGCCAGCAGAAAGGGAAGTGCATCCCTTGTGGAGCTGTAGGGTGGAGAGTGAGAGCTTTGCACTTCATAAAGAGACTGTACATGCAGAGCTGGGGTCAAAGCACGGCAGAGAAACGTGGATGGACCTTCAAAACATCATATTACTGCATGGGCAGGTCCTTGTGTTTTGGACTTCTCCTTTAGTTGGTCATCCGTCAGCTTCCCAATACCGAATTCTATAAATCTGTGCAAGAATTCTGAATCTTTCCCAATGTTTGAGAATCTGAAAAGACTCAACAAAGGTTTCCCCCAGCTATCTTCAAAACATCATACTACTGCATGGGCAGGTCCTTGTGTTTTGGACTTCTCCTTTAGTTGGTCATCCGTCAGCTTCCCAATACCGAATTCTATAAATCTGTGCAAGAATTCTGAATCTTTCCCAATGTTTGAGAATCTGAAAAGACTCAACAAAGGTTTCCCCCAGCTCCCAATAATTTTCAAGGCCTTAAAGCTGAGCTTTCAGATGTAGCTGCTTATTCTGGCTGTTTGGATTTTGTTTCACAGCTTCAGGTGTTTCAGGTGGGCTCAAAAACTACCATCCCCAGATAAATCCAAGTGCCGTGGAAACCTTCTCCTTGGAAACATCAGAATGAGCCTGGAACTCCAGAAGTCCAAATGTATGAGTACTTTGGTGACTGATGAATGTCAGGAAGATGGATCAAAACGCAAGCAGAGGGGTTCTTATCAGTGGTATATCGGAAAACCAGATTCTACCCATCCTTGGCTTTCACGAAACTTTCATGCATGGGCATTGGTTTAGAGCTTGCTTATAACACCCACACTTTTTGATTCTTAACCAAATACAATTGAAAAGCCTTTCTTGCTTTCTAGGAAAATAACCCACTAAATTATTCATATTAAACCACAACCGTGAAGGCTGGATTTTCCTCCTTTGCATTTTCCCCTTATCTTCTCTATCTCGTTTTCCTCTTTACTTATCTCATTTGCAAAATGAGGCCCTGGCCACCCTGGAAGGGCACTCAGGTTGACCAAGGCATGACAATTGAGAAATGCTCAAGGCAGGAGGCAGTTGTTAAGGACAGAGCCCTCATTTTCAAGACTTAGAACCATCCTGTTGCCTGCCCTGTGTCTCTGAAAATGGTGCCCGTCATTATGGCAAAGGCATCCTAAGACAGCAGACAAAAAATCACTTCGGACTGGAGGCTTTATTTCCCTCCCTTGCCTTTTTTTTCCCTTCCTCTGCTCCTTCTCTCTATGGTTTTTCTATTCTCTTCTTTCCCCTTTTCACCTTTGATCCAGCTCTTCCTTTGGCCCAGTCGACACATTCAACAGGAAACCTTCTAAAGGACACCTTTATGCTGCAGGTTCCTTCCCCCCATCCTGGCCCTCATTCTCTCTTTCTCACTTAATGGGAAAGTTCCAAGTTTCCAAGAGTCCAGGCGTAACCCCATCTCCTCCTTGAGCTTTCAAAGGGGAAATCTGACAACTGTACAGGGCTTTCTTTGTTCTATGTGGACTTCTTTCACCACGCAAAGTCAGCCAGGCAAACAGAAGAGTGTTACTTTGTTGGAATCAGTGGAGTCTTGTTTTCTTCTGGACATGGACTTTGTCCATGCCATGCTGCTGGGAAGCATGAACTACAACCTGCACTACTCCTTGACCTCCTGTCAGCAAAGCTCAAAACACTCTGGGCTCACTCAACATCTCCTTCTCAACCATCTCCTTCTCTCTGGTTTTAAGAGACAGTTGCGCTCATTTGAGGTGCCCCAGAGCAACTTGTCTCACCTTCAGCTGCTACTAAAGCCTTCATGTCTCCCAATAATTTTCAAGGCCTTAAAGCTGAACTTTCTCACTCTCTTTCTCACTTAATGGGAAAGTTCCAAGTTTCCAAGGGTCCAGGCATAACCCCATCTCCTCCTTGAGCTTTCAAAGGGGAAATCTGACAACTGTACAGGGCTTTCTTTGTTCTATGTGGACTTCTTTCACCACGCAAAGTCAGCCAGGCAAACAGAAGAGTGTTACTTTGTTGGAATCAGTGGAGTCTTGTTTTCTTCTGGACATGGACTTTGTCCATGCCATGCTGCTGGGAACACCAGAAGAAGGTTTCACAGCGACAGAGAAGGAGCCTGTTTCTATCACAATTGCAAAAAATACAGAACAAGACCTGTCAGTTTTGGAGAGGAAAATGCAGGCAGGGAAACAAAAGCTGCCAGGAAGCCTCAGTTTTCTCTGGAAGACCCAGAGCTGTGCCATCCCATCACCATTTACTCCTTCATGCTGCGACTTGTCCCTCTTAAAGGAGGTTTTGTGGCTCAGCGAGTCTCTAAATCCCTTAATTTCACTAAGTGGCAACAGAAATGCAGCTCTAGCAAACACGTACAGGTTGTGGGAAGCTGTGTGCTCCCTGTGAGTGTGTGTACACGTCTGTGCAAGCGTGAGTACATGTGTTGTTTCTCCTCCTTCGCCTCCACAGACGCTGCCCTGGCTCCTGGCCAGATGGTCCCACCAAGCGCTTCCCCACATCCCATTAGCTGCAATGTCTACCCAGTCACTGGAGATTACTTCCACACTAATGGCTCAGAAAAAGGCCTTCCCAGAGCTACTTATGACTGCACCAGGCACTTGGAATATTTCATGAGCGAATATTGCAATGATCTGTTGGAGCTCTGGGAGCTGTTGGAGGAAATGCCAGCAGAAAGGGAAGTGTATCCCTTGTGGAGCTGTAGGGTGGAGAGCGAGTGCTTTGCACTTCGTAAAGAGACTGCAGATGCAGAGCTGGGGTCAAAGCACGGCAGAGAAACGCGGATGGATCTTCAAAACATCATACTACTGCATGGGCAGGTCCTTGTGTTTTGGACTTCTCCTTTAGTTGGTCATCCGTCAGCTTCCCAATACCGAATTCTATAAATCTGTGCAAGAATTCTGAATCTTTCCCAATGTTTGAGAATCTGAAAAGACTCAACAAAGGTTTCCCCCAGCTCCCAATAATTTTCAAGGCCTTAAAGCTGAGCTTTCAGATGTAGCTGCTTATTCTGGCTGTTTGGATTTTGTTTCACAGCTTCAGGTGTTTCAGGTGGGCTCAAAAACTACCATCCCCAGATAAATCCAAGTGCCGTGGAAACCTTCTCCTTGGAAACATCAGAATGAGCCTGGAACTCCAGAAGTCCAAATGTATGAGTACTTTGGTGACTGATGAATGTCAGGAAGATGGATCAAAACGCAAGCAGAGGGGTTCTTATCAGTGGTATATCGGAAAACCAGATTCTACCCATCCTTGGCTTTCACGAAACTTTCATGCATGGGCATTGGTTTAGAGCTTGCTTATAACACCCACACTTTTTGATTCTTAACCAAATACAATTGAAAAGCCTTTCTTGCTTTCTAGGAAAATAACCCACTAAATTATTCATATTAAACCACAACCGTGAAGGCTGGATTTTCCTCCTTTGCATTTTCCCCTTATCTTCTCTATCTCGTTTTCCTCTTTACTTATCTCATTTGCAAAATGAGGCCCTGGCCACCCTGGAAGGGCACTCAGGTTGACCAAGGCATGACAATTGAGAAATGCTCAAGGCAGGAGGCAGTTGTTAAGGACAGAGCCCTCATTTTCAAGACTTAGAACCATCCTGTTGCCTGCCCTGTGTCTCTGAAAATGGTGCCCGTCATTATGGCAAAGGCATCCTAAGACAGCAGACAAAAAATCACTTCGGACTGGAGGCTTTATTTCCCTCCCTTGCCTTTTTTTTCCCTTCCTCTGCTCCTTCTCTCTATGGTTTTTCTATTCTCTTCTTTCCCCTTTTCACCTTTGATCCAGCTCTTCCTTTGGCCCAGTCGACACATTCAACAGGAAACCTTCTAAAGGACACCTTTATGCTGCAGGTTCCTTCCCCCCATCCTGGCCCTCATTCTCTCTTTCTCACTTAATGGGAAAGTTCCAAGTTTCCAAGAGTCCAGGCGTAACCCCATCTCCTCCTTGAGCTTTCAAAGGGGAAATCTGACAACTGTACAGGGCTTTCTTTGTTCTATGTGGACTTCTTTCACCACGCAAAGTCAGCCAGGCAAACAGAAGAGTGTTACTTTGTTGGAATCAGTGGAGCCTTGTCTTCTTCTGGACATAGACTTTGTCCATGCCATGCTGCTGGGAAGTGTGAACTACAACCTGCACTATTCCTTGACGTCCTGTCAGCAAAGCCCAAAACACTCTGGGCTCACTCAACATCTCCTTCTCAACCATCTCCTTCTCTCTGGTTTTAAGAGACAGTTGCGCTCATTTGAGATGCCCCAGAGCAACTTGTCTCACCTTCAGCTGCTACTAAAGCCTTCATGTCACATCTGCCAGCCCTATGCGAGCAGGTCAGATGCTCTGGGGTTGCTCAGACTGCACTAGCAGGCTGTGTTCATGCAACTGATTCAAGTCTACATTGACTATTTTGGGAACTCTGACACCCTGCTCACCCCTGCGTTGTAGACACCAGAAGTTGTGTGCCTACCTTTGAAGGCCACCATTGCCTCCCATCCTCAAGGTTGCCTGGGGCTTTTCCTGACCCAGCAGAACTCAGCCCTGACCTTCCCCTCACCGACCCAAAGCCAAATCAGGAAAATAAAGGAAGGAAAGGGTACGAGAGGGAATGACCCGGCTTCTTGCAGGTCCATGACTTACATCCGTGATCTTGGGGTTGGTGCATTTGCCCTTGGTGCTGGACAACTCCAACCACTGGCTGTCCTGGGCTGGGCAGTGCTGCTTCAACGTGCACTGGTTTTGCCCCTCACACCAGCCACATTCGAAGTCTGGGTCGGCTTTCAGGCAGAGTCCACAGCTGTCCCGCATGGCCCCGCACTTGTACAGGTGAACTGCAGGGAAAGGAAAAGAGAGAGGACCTGAGAGACGCAAACAGCATGGGAGAGTGGTGGGACGTCAGAAGGAAGAACGAGGAGCAAGAGAGGGGAAAGTGTTCTGGGCTCCTAGTCCCAGAGGCAGGATCAGAACTTGCGGAGGGCCACGAAGATGATCAGAGGACTGGAGCACTTCTCCTATGAGGACAGGCTGAGAGAGTTGGGATTGTTCAGTCTGCAGAAAGCCCCTTCCAGTCCCTAAAGGGGGTACAGAAAATCTGGGGAGGGACTCTTGATCAGGAAGTGTAGTGATGGGACAAGGGGGAACGGTTTTAAACTGAAAGAGGGGAGATTTAGATTAGATATTAGGAAGAAATTCTTTCCTGTGAGGGTGATGAGACACTGAAACAGGTTGCCCAGAGAAGCTGTGGCTGCCCCATCCCTGGAGGGGTTCAAGGCCAGGCTGGATGGGGCTTTGAGCAATCTGGTCTGGTGGGAGGTGTCCCTGCCCATGGCAGGGGGCTGGAACTTGATCTTTAAGGTCCCTTCCAAACTAAACCATTCTGTGATTCTCCAAGGTGGTAAATAATGGGGAAAAAAACCACATTTATATTTTTCTTGAAACAAACTGCACTTGTCAGAGTTCATTCGCCATGCAAGATATTTTTGGAAGCTGAGAGCAGAAGGAAGGATGCTGTCCTCAGCAGGGTGATGGACTGCAAGCAGGAGGTTAGTGGAAAAGGAAGGACTTGGCCTCAGTCCCTTCCTTTTTCAGAGGCTGTCTGAACGTCAGGCAGTGCTGCCCTTAACCAGTCTCAGCCTCAGCTCTTCATCCTAAAATTATTTTCTAGACCTGGTCTACCCACAGTGTAAACTTGGGCATTTGTCTGGTGTGAAACCACCCAGAACTGGGTGCTACGGTGATGCCATTCAGGTTTCCCCCTTAACAGAAATCCTAAGAGATAGTAGAAAATCCACGATGGTACACTATGAGGCTGAACTCAGGGATTCACAATCAGCCTGTCCCCTTTCTTCAGCTTCAGAAATTCAGTCTGCTTTACAATTTGAAGTACTAAGTTCATCCTCCTCTAATACAGCCAGCAATGATTAATGCTTAGCTCCATCTTGGGCTGCTAAGTGATTAGAACCAGTCAAAGCTCTTTCCAGATAAAGCCTAAAAATGTTGCAGTCCTCCTACGAAATAAGATCATGTTCTTTATCCTTATTTTACAAATGTGTAAACTGAGGCCTGGGTTGCACAGGAGGCTGATAGCAAAAGTCTCCTCCCTGAAGATGAAGACAGCAGAATTGAGGCTTTCAGACTTGCTTTTTTTTTCTTTCTGTTTTTGTGGGCGTGTTGATGGATTTCTTTATAATATGGGGGCTTTTCCCTTTGTGATTCTGTTTTGCTGTTTCAGCAGGTGACCAAAGTCTTGTCTGTGCTTATTACTATTCACAATCCTAAAGCTCAAAGGATTTGGATATGTGTGCTGAAAAGCTCTGGCTGTCTTTTCATACCTGGATCCCAGAAATCATCATGTATTAATTAATGCAAGGAAAATCTCACAAACTTTTTATCTCTCCAGGTTGGGTGTGAGAAAAGTTTGTAAAAAAGCTGTCAAGAGCAGGGTGCTACAGGTCTCCTGGGATACAGCCCTGTCCTTCATTTTCTGTTAGATTCCCTCAAATTTGCTGAGTTGCTGAAATTTGCAGGCACCTCAGTGGGCTTCATAGAATCATAGAATGGTTAGGGTTGGAAGGGACCTCAAAGATCATCGAGTTCCAACCCCCCTGCCATAGAATGGTTAGAGTTTGAAGGGACCTTAAAGATCATCCAGTTCCAACCCACCTCCCACCAGACCAGGTTGCTCAAAGACCCATCCAGCCTGGCCTTGAACCCCTCCAGGGATGGGGCAGCCACAGCTTCTCTGGGCAACCTGTTCCAATGTCTCACCACCCTCAAAGCAAAGAATTTCTTCCTAGTATCTAATATAGATAGGCTTGGTTTAGTTTAGCCTTTCAGCCTGCCAGCCCAGCCCATTTGGCAATGAAAGTAGTGGCATCTTGGCTGCATTAAGGTGGTGTAACCCAGTGCAACTGCACTTAGAAAGGCACTGGGTCTAATCCTGCCTCTGCCTCTCCCTCTCATTTTTCCAGAGAAGAAGGTCTACTTGGTTGCAGCACTGTCCAAAGCCCTGCCAGGGATTTCTATTTGATCGTAACCTCTACATTTGTGTTAGTAAATAAAGCTCTCTGTGGCCTCGAGAGCATGTCACATACCTCCATGTGGTATATCTATGTGCACATGCCTAAGGTCTTCTCCTGACCCAAAACATGACGGTATCATCAAAACTGCTCATTTGGGATAGCTGCCAGCCAATGCCACTTCCCAAATTTTTTCCTAGTCGTTACTTACAATCTTTTTGGGTTTGAATAACCCATGCACTTGTAAGAGACTGTGTGAAAGACTAAGCACCACAGATGTTTCTTGAGTTCATGCCCTGGTCTGGTTTACATTACCAGCACAGACATGCCTAAAGACACAATCATCATGATTATGAGACTGATTTTACTCCTGTATCACCTAGGACAGCTCAGTACTGGGTTCATACTCTTTGTGTGGACCATGTTGCATCAGGAACCTGTTCCACACCAAGACTATAGTAGACCAACATCATAATGGTAGCAGAAAACTAAGCAGGCCCTGGGCAAGTGCCCAAACCCACACCTTCAGCTCATAGTTGAAGACCAGCACAGTTCATGGCACTGTTTGAACATGGGCTGTGCCACATTGCTGGGTGCCAGGGCTAGACAACAGTCTCCAGCCTATTGTGTTTACTGGGTGTATTTAACCTCCAAGAGCCATAGTTTTGGGGAAGACAGCACAGGACCTCTTGCATTCAGACTGAGTATTAAAACCCCAGCAGAGAAAGACATCCCAGAGGTGAGTACAGGGAAAGAAGGACAAGAAAGGGTCATGCCATGTGGAGAATTGCCTTCTATATTGCTCTCCAACTTCAATGTGGCATTGGTGGAAACCTCACCCACCACCTCTCAGTATGAGGGAGGGTGTGAGAGGAGCACGGGAGTACCCAGTGGGGAGAGATGGAATGGGAGAAGATGTGGAAACCATCCAAGAAAAGAGAAGGTAAAGCGAAGGAGGGAGAAACTTCTGAGAGGTGGTGATGTGAGAAGGAGAGGTTTGAGCTGTGAATGCAGAGCAGCCAAGAGGAGACGTTGTCTGAGGGAAAGGCCTCAGGGTGGCTGAGGGTAAAGAACAAGAAGAAAGAAGAAGATGCGAATGGATTGTCCATCTCCAGCAAAAAAAATGCCTGCATCAGGGTTGAGGCTGGATGTGCAACATCCCTCTGTGAGGGACTTCTGAGAGGTGGTGATGTGAGAAGGAGAGGTTTGAGCTGTGAATGCAGAGCAGCCAAGAGGAGACGTCTGAGGGAAAGGCCTCAGGGTGGCTGAGGGTAAAGAACAAGAAGAAAGAAGAAGATGCAAATGGATTGTCCATCTCCAGCAAAAAAAATGCCTGCATCAGGGTTGAGGGGAACATCAATCCTGAGCCAACGGTGGTAGTTAAATGGAGTCAGGCTCTGGGCAGGAGGTGGTTTTTGGTCCTTTACTGTTATCGTTTCATTTTGTTCAGACTTTTCCCACTGGTGAGCTGCAGCCTTTCTCCTCCCCCTCTCCCTTCCCCGGTTCGTTATAACATCATTGCCTCTGAGCCCAATCTCCTGGCATGTTAACTTGAAGAGCATCACTGCAGGAGAAATACAAAGGGGGAGAAAGCTGGAGAGGGAGGGGAATGAAAACAGGACACAAACACGGGGGGAGAAGTGGGAGGCAAAGAGGATGAAGGAAGAGGGAAAGCAACACAAGTGGGAGGGAGAGTTGTATTTCTCAGGTGCAAAGGGAGAAGCGGGGGGAGCAGGAAACACAAAGCACAGGCAAAAAAAAAAAAAATTGGTAATTTGCAGAGTGCAGAGAACAAGTATGCACCAGACAGCATGGGGAGATGGTGGCGGCTTTGTTAAGTGCAGGGAGCGATGTGGCCCGTTGCTAAGGTTACTGCTTCCAAGGACAAGTTGAAATAACTCTTTACCTTTGTTCTGTGCTGGGTTGTCAATGTTGAAATTCCCGTTCCACACGACCGTCAGCTCCACTGGCAGGCTGTTGATCTCCATCCCCTCGTACGAGTACTAGAATTGGGAGAGCAAAAACAAAAGAAGACGAAACGCAAACTCAGACTTGGATGGTACCCAGAGGTAGGGAGGGGTTGGGATGGGATGAGGTAAGAATCTTCAGCCTGGAGAAGAGAAGGCTCCAGGGAGAACTTAGAGCCCCTTCCAGTACCTAAAGGAGAGATGGGGAGGGACTCCTCATCAGGGAGTGGAGGCATAGGACAAGGGGTTATGGTTTTAAACTGAAAGAGGGGAGATTTAGATTAGTTATTATGAAGAAATTATTTGCTGTGAGGGTGGTGAGACACTGAAACAGGTTGCCCTGAGAAGCTGTGGCTGCCCCATCCCTGGAGGGGTTCAAGGCCAGGCTGGATGGGGCTTGGAGCAACCTGGTCTGGTGGGAGGTGTCCCTGCCCAGGGCAGGGGGGTTGGAACTGGATGACCTTTAAGGTCCCTTCCAACCCAAACGGTTCTGTGATTCTAAGAGTTTGTGCTGCAAGGTGTAACCAAGAGAAAAGGAGCTGTCACCTACCTCCTCACCAGCCATTACCTGACAGAAAGCCACGGGATGCTCTCAAAGTTGTGATTCTCAGTGGAGCAAGCTGTGCTCCTTTCAATAGCCTGCTTAGCCATTAGGTGAATATTCCATGATTTAAGCATGGTTGCATGTGATGGGACTTATCTTGGAAATCTACCTTCTAGTTGTTGAGCACAGCTCTGAAGAATATTTTGCCAACTCCTGGGTACACCTCTAAAGTGAACATTATGGATTGGGGTTCTACCATCCAAATATACCTCTGCCATGTATTCCATACATGCTGAGCATATATGTAAGGTTATCTACACTACTGATATTGTGAAGAACTCTTGGAAGCTGATTGAGGTCTCAGAAAGCAGGGAACAGCCATATCATGGAAATACCTTAAAAATGGGGAAAATGGAGGTTCTGTGTAATTATAGACCTGTCATCCGAACTTGGCTTCCCAGAAAGAAAGTACATCAAATTATTAAACAATCAATTTATAAGCACCTGCAAGATGATAAGGTGATAAAAATCAGCCAGCATAGATTTGTCAAGAACAAATTGTGTCAACCCAATCTAATTTCCTTTTTTGACAGTCTTAATGGCTTTGTGGATAAAGGGGAGGCAGCAGATGTGATTTATCTTGATTTCAGTAGAGTTTTTGCTACCGTCCTACAGGAGATTCCCATAAACAAACTAAGGAAATATGATCTAAAAGAAGCCACAATAAGGTATATGCAAAAGCTGCCAAAAAAAAAAAATAAAATAGAAGTTAATTGGGCGTTTCAAATGGAGTATTGTCCTGGATCTGGCATTATTCAGTATTTTCACTACTGGCTTGGATGACAGACTACAGATTTCATGAATGACACAGCTCTGGGAAAAGGTGTGAGAACATCCCAAAGCAGGGTTAAGAATTCAAAACAAACTTGACAAATTGTAGAACAGGGCCAAAACCAACAAAGTGAAATTCAGTACGGGCAAGTACTGAGTATTCTTCAGTAGGAGGAATCAACGCAAACAAATATGAAATTGGAGTGACTGGCCAGTGCTGCAGGAAAGGGTCTGGGGACTGCTGAAGATCACAAACAGATTGTGAATCAACAATGCCATATTGCTGCCAAAAAATTAAGCAAATCTCCTTCGGGGATGTGCTAGATAGATGTTGTTACATACGTAAGCCCCAGGAGGCAATTATTTTTCCCTACTCAGACCCAAAAAGGCGTCAGCTGGAGTAGGGGGTATCCAGTTTCCAGCAAATATGTATGAAGAAAGCCACAAAAATCTTCTGAGAGAGTTGGAGAGGCTTAAACAAACACTTGTCAGGCACAGTCAAGGTACACAGAGCTGGTCTTAATGAAGGAAATGGAAGCTGATCTCTGGAGGCCCTCTCCACTCGGAGAGCTCTCTGGCACATGGTACTTTGTGTATTTTTTTTCAGCTAGATTTTGGTTTATCACAGGGTTCACACAGTTGCCCGTCAGATCCCACTGCCCACTTCCACCAAGACCTCCCCTCCAACACTTCGGCAAAAAGTCTCATAATAAGAGAGGAGGTGGTGGCTTACAAGACAGAATGGGAAGAAGGCAAGAAGGAGAGACAAACTCAATGTCTGCTGCTATTACTGACCACAGCACACATAAGGATTCACCCTCCTGAGATCACGAATCTCACACTGCACTGGGATCTACAGCGGGACGAACTCCCACTTTTAAAGAAAACAGTGATTTTCCCGCTACAAGATTAAATACAATTCCAGAAGCTTGTCTGGTTTGGTTGGGTATGTCTCAAGAGACCACAAAAGAGCTCCCCGCCACTTAAAAGTCTCCGTGTGGTTTTCCACGGAGATGCCAAAGCTCTGAGCCTTCAGAGGCAGGGTTTTCTGTATCCGTTAATTGGCGTATAATTGCGGAGTAAATGGTAGACGGTGATTTCTGTCCATTACGGCGGAGCGAGCGCTAGTTGCACGGTGATTTCTCTTTGGACAAACTAAAGGCAATTAGCCACTAATCTGCAAGACTCTGCGATTACGATCTAGTTGTAGGGTATTTATGGGTTTAGGCTTCGTGGTTACCATGGAAGTAAAGAGCGGCCGCAGGTTAGCGGAGCCCTTTGTATAAATTGGGCTGGACCCGCCAACCTCACTCAGAATTAGCATTTTTATGACACTTCTCGGTGTCGCTGCCAGTGAGATGGAAGATGATGCAGAGCTGCTTGGACTCACAATGTTGGGTTTTCACAGCTTTTTGGAGCTGGGAGCAAGGACGGGGGAACAGGACTGGGAAGGAGAGGGCTTGAAAAGTAAGGAATAATTCACAGAATCACAGAATCTTCTAGGTTGGAAGGGACCTTAAAGATCATCTTGTCCAACCGTCAACCTAACTGACAAAAATAGACACCCACACAACAAACAAGGAGCATCATCACTAAACCATACCTCCCAGCACTACATCAACCCGTCTTTTGAACACCTCCAGGGATGGGGCCTCAACCACCTCCCTGGGCAGCCCATTCCAATGGCTGATAACCCTTTCAGTGAAAAAATTTTTCCTAATATCCAGCCTGAACCTCCCCTGGTGCAACTTGAGGCCATTTCCTCTCGTCCTGTCGCCTGTGACTTGGGATGAAACCAGCTGGGGGTTGGAATGAGGATGCTCTCTGTGCCCGGAGAGCTCAGACAGCTCTTGGGCTGCGACGGCAGCGAAACAGAGCAATTTGCAAAGTAACAGCCAAGTAAACGCTCCGTCGTCTTCAGACCACAGGAGCTGCTAACTCATTGTGACCCCTCTTCAAAGCCCGCTGAACTCAAGAGGAGCCTTTGAAAGGGATCCGCTCGGCTGTAACAATGAGATGGAAATATGTTTCGGAGAAGAAAAAAAGGGATGGTGTATCGATCTCCAGGACTAACAGCGGAGCTTCCCGGATCCTCCTGCTAAGAGCATTCTTTCCATTAGGGTTTGTATGGATGTGATGCCTCGCACAACTTTCTCCAGCGCAGGCAAAACTGCTGAAAAGATGTAAATCTGGCCCTTAAGTCTGCCAGATCCGGATTCCTACCATGCAAATCAAATCAAAGCAGAAAATTACCGGCAATTTAGAGGCCCAAACTGAGAAAGAGAGGTTGCCTTTCCAGAAAGGCAGACTGGCTCTCATCAGGAAATGCCCAAAAGCTGCTAGAAGGAGCTGTTGTAACTCACAGGAAAGACACAGAATGTTTTGAACTCCCAAGCACCAGTTCTTTGTCTCTAAAACTCTTCACCAGCATCAGATACTCCTGCAACATGGGCTGGGCCCATCACATCACTTGGCCATTTTGCCGTGTTGTCAGTGGTTGAACATATTGCACGCGAGCTACTACAAACACATCGACTGTTTGTCTACGAACATCCCCGGGCCAAGAGGATGGCTGCAAAATCACAGCTCTCAGTTCTACAACAGCTAGGCAAACATCACGGAAAGATACTTTGCACATCAGAAATCTCAAATTCCTGGCTGCTCTGGGCATCCCATTGCTGCAGGCACTCTGCATTAGAGGAACTCAGCTTGACAGACCTATGAGCCACGCAGTTTGTGCAAATCCATAACCGTGCTTGACCTGTTGGGATGGTGCATCACTGGGTAAAGCCCTCTGGGAGTTTGTTTGGGCACATAGAGGATGATAAATGAAGAGCAGCTCCATGATGTTTCTCCCTTGTACCTTGAGCATGTCCATTAGTGGGGAAAGACCTGCAGGCAAATGTCCTTTTACTGGTATTTTAGTGTTGTCTGTTTTCCCTGATGGCATAAAAGCACGTCTTGTGGTTAGAGCTTTGGTCTGGGGATTCATTCCTGTATCTGGCTCTGCCACTGACTCCTTGTGTGATCCCATGCAAATCATTCAATCCCTCTTTGGGTCAATTTTCCAGCCATAAACTTTAGGCAAAAAATTTCTTGCCCACAGTCATTCCTTCTTCTTTGGACTTTTTGCTTCCCAGGTCTGGGACTGAACGGCTGGGTATCAGCCAGGACAATAGAGTCCATATCATGATGGAGGTTTCTCTGTGATGTTTGAGTGGAGATAATTAATAATAAAGCATCATAATCATCGTAGAATAGTTAGAGTTGGAAGGGACCTTAAAGATCATCCAGATCCAACCCCACTGCCATGGGCAGGGACACCTCCCACCAGACCAGGAGGTAACCCTTTCAGTGAAAAAATTTTTCCTAATATCCAGCCTGAACCTCCCCTGGTGCAACTTGAGGCCATTTCCTCTCGTCCTGTCGCCTGTGACTTGGGAGAAGAGACCGACCCCCACCTCTCTACACCCTCCTTTCAGGTAGTTGGAGAGAGCAATAAGGTCTCCCCTCAGCCTCCTCTTCTCCAGGCTGAATAACCCCAGCTCCCTCAGCCTCTCCTCATAAGACTTATTCTCCAGACCCCTCACCATCTTTGTCGCCCTTCTCTGGACCCGCTCCAGCACCTCAATGTCTTTTTTATGGTAGGGGGCCCAAAACT